GCAGATTATTGATAAAGCGTCCACCAATCTTGACCCCACATTTCTCCTCATAGAGCCCAGCCTCCCGGATAATCTGTTCTGCATATAGGTTGAAAGGGTATGGAGATAGGATGCATCCCTGGCGTAGCCCTTCCCAATTTTGAACCATGCAGTGTTCCCTTGCTCTGTTCTGACGACTGCCTCCTGGTCCAAGTATAGGTTTTGCATTAGAACGATCAGCAAATAAATGGTAGACAAGGAGGAAGTTCAGATCCAGCCAGAATGTTCTAAGATGGAAGACACTTGAGGATGTTGTTTAGGTTGAAGGAAGAACCCAAAATAGCCAGAAGGGTTCAGAAAGCATGATTAATGCAGCAACATCTCCTCAGTGATGGACGGACGAGGCGGGCCTTAGAGCTTGCAAGGGAAGAGAAAAGAGGTCTTTGGGATATTTGTTGCCAGTTTGGGAAAAGGCATAGGGAGCTCTGGTGGCTTAACAGTAAGGAACTTTGCTGTCAATCCAAAGATATGTGGTTCAAATCTACCAGCTGCTCCACGGGAGAAAGATAAGCAATCTCATGTGCCAGAGTGTCAGTTAATACTCAACAGTACACAACAGTGAAGGTTGTTAAAAGTAGTTTTCGCGGTATACAGATAAGGAGAGAAAACACTACATGAAATGAGGGTATGTCACAGCTTGACTTGAATTTATCCTCAGAATTGGGTAATGTCTCTAAGAAGCACCAGGGATTTGAGAAGCTAAATGCCTCCTGCAAGTCACAGCCTCTTTGCAGCTTATTTTCCTCATCTCTAAAAAGAACCAAATGTTTCTTCGGATGGTTAGTAATTATAAGGACTTTGCCCTTTCTCAAACTGACATTTCTGTACATGCCACACTTCATTTCAGTTGCTCAAATTGATTTTTTTTTCCTTTTTGCTTAAGATTCCCTTCTTTCTGTCTATAGTCAACAGACCAAATGCAGAACCACACTATAACCATCTGTTTTTTATTTTTGGTTTATCTTGTTAATAATACGCTGCAGCTTATAATTTGCTGATGTTTACTTGCAGATGTTTAATTTTATGATTTGCTGTTCTAAACCTTGCCAGATTTATGGAGATACTGATAATACAAGTTGGCGGGG